ATAGATAGATAGATAGATCGATAGATAGATAGATAGATAGATAGATAGATAGATAGATAGATAGATAGATAGATAGATGCTAGATAGATAGCGATAGATAGATAGATAGATAGATAGATAGATAGATAGATAGATAGATAGATAGATAGATAGATAGATAGATAGATAGATAGATAGATAGATAGATAGATAGGATAGATAGATAGATAGATAGATAGATAGATAGATAGATAGATAGATAGATAGATAGATAGATAGATAGATAGATAGATAGATAGATAGATAGATAGATAGATAGATAGATCGATAGATAGATTAGATACATATTTAGATATTAAGTTATTAGTTTCGATTTTAAAAAATGTTTTTATATTTAGAAATTTTCATAAATTTTAAAGTATCTTTTTAATCTTCAAAAAATCTAAACAACACAAATTTGCCAATAAAAACAACATGGACTGTTTTTATCAATAAATTATTTTTATTTGTTTATAATTTATTTGCATTTTGAATTTTAAATTTTTTTATTTTTTTGTTGTAATTAAGACAATAATAAGAGAGGAAATACAAAAAATAAACAAAATTATAATTTTTTATGTTATTTGTATAGCTATATAAAGATATATTTAAAACAAACTATTTATTAAGAAACAGAGAGAGTAGGGAAGTGAAAACAGTGTATTAGGGCGGCAGGAGGGATTAATATTATAAAAAACACAAATGTATAATAAAACTTTTAAATATTAATAGTTAGAACAAGAAAAACATCATTTTACAATATTTATATATAAAAAATTAAATATTAAAAACTAAAATTATATTAAATGATTTTAAAGAAATACTTAAAGCTAATCAATAGAATAAATTTTAAATTTAAAACATAAAATATAAATTATTTAAAAAAGAGTTTAATTTGAACAAAATTTAAACTTTAATTTTAGTTTATAAAAGTAAAACTTAAACCTTTTTTAACAGTTAAAAATTAACATACAAAAACTAAACTTTTGTAGTAGATTTTTTTTTAATTTTAAGTTAAAGTCAATAATTAAATTATATTAAAACTATATAAAAATATATTTATATATTTTTAGTTTATTTATTATTTATATTAAAAATAACTAAATTTATTAGGTGTTTTAAAAAATATATGCAAAATGTTTTAAATTATTAAAGTTTCCATTAATGGAAAGGAGTTGAAGGAAGTAAGGTTGGTTTTTTAGGGAAAGTTTGTTTCTTTTTTAGTTAATTACTAAAATTCTTATCAAAACTAAATGTTTGCCAGGGTTATATTTATATATAAATGTATACTTTTGTTTTTGTTTATTTTTAGTTTAAAGTTTTTATTTTTGTTTATTTTATTAGTATAATTTTTATAATTTTCTTATATAGCTTTTCTTAATTACTAATTAGTTTGAAGCCTTATATAATTTACGAAAAAAAAGAATTTCTCAAGCATTTTTTATCAATAATTAGTGTTTATTTTAGTTTTTTGTTTTGGAAATAAAGCAACTTACAGCATTTAATTATAAACTTATTTTTTAGTTTTAATTTATTTTTTTTTTAATTATTTAATAAAAATCTATTCAAAGTGCTTTAAGTATATATAATACAATATGTTTAATTTTAAATCAAAAGCTTTCAAAAGTGTTAATTTAAAAGTTTTTTGTTTAAAAGCAGAAAAAAAGGCAAAAAAACTTTATTTATATTTAATTTAATAAAAATTATTAAAATTTTGCAAACCGTTTTTAAATTTCTTTAAAAGTAAAGTAAGTCTATAGTCTAGTCTATAGTTTAGTCTATAGTCTATAGTCTAGTCTAGTCTATAGTCTAGTCTATAGTCTAGTCTAGTCTATATTCTAGTCTATAGTCTAGTTTATAGTCTAGTCTATAGTCTAGTCTATAGTCTAGTCTATAGTCTAGTCTATAGTCTAGTCTATAGTCTAGTCTATAGTCTAGTCTATAGTCTAGTCTATAGTCTAGTCTATAGTCTAGCCTATAGTCTAGTCTATAGTCTAGTCTATAGTCTAGTCTATAGTCTAGTCTATAGTCTAGTCTATAGTCTAGTCTATAGTCTAGTCTATAGTATAGTCTATAGTCTAGTCTATAGTCTAGTCTATAGTCTAGTCTATAGTCTAGTCTATAGTCTAGTCTATTGTCTAGTCTATTAGTCTAGTCTAGTCTAGTCTATAGTCTAGTCTATAGTCTAGTCTAGTAGTCTAGTCTATAGTCTAGTTTGTAGTCTAGTCTATAGTCTAGTCTATAGTCTAGTCTATAGTCTAGTCTATAGTCTAGTCTATAGTCTAGTCTATAGTCTAGTCTATAGTCTAGTCTATAGTCTAGTCTATAGTCTAGTCTATAGTCTAGTCTATAGTCTAGTCTATAGTCTAGTCTATAGTCTAGTCTATAGTCTAGTCTATAGTCCTATAGTCTAGTCTATAGTCTATAGTCTAGTCTATAGTCTATAGTCTAGACTAGTCTATAGTCTAGTCTATAGTCTAGTCTATAGTCTAGTCTATAGTCTAGTCTATAGTCTAGTCTATAGTCTAGTCTATAGTCTAGTCTATAGTCTAGTCTATAGTCTAGTCTATAGTCTAGTCTATAGTCTAGTCTATAGTCTAGTCTATAGTCTAGTCTATAGTCTAGTCTATAGTCTAGTCTATAGTCTAGTCTATAGTCTAGTCTATAGTCTAGTCTATAGTCTAGTCTATAGTCTAGTCTCTAGTTGTCTATTGTCTAGTCTAGTCTAGTCTACAGTCTAGTCTATAGTTCTAACAACATTCTGCCTAAACTTTCTTTCATAATTACTCAGTTAATTACTAATTACTTTTGAAATTCACTTTCGTAAAAAGTGAAATTAATCCTTCAACTTCTTTTAACAATAAACTTTTAATTTAACCTTTAAATTTTTGTTTGTTTTTTAACTTTATAACTATTTCTATTACTTTAGTTTTATTTTATAAATATTTTTTTTCTTTCTTTTCTATCTTATACAATTTGTTATAATAATTATTACATTTGTTCTTAATTAAGAAAAAAGAGACTTAAATTTAATTATAAACAATAAACAAAAATTGTATTTTATTTGAAAAGGAGTTCACTTTTGGTGTTTTTTAATATTAACTTAAATTACTAAAATTTTATATTAAAGAGTTTTTTACAAACAATAACAAATTATAGCTGTTTTATATAAAAAAATTTTGAAATTTCTTTAAATTTTTAACAGAAAAAAGAGCTTTGGTAGTAGTAGCAGTAATAGGAAAAATATATATAATTATTTGATTGGTTTTAAAAAAGCAATAAGAAAGTAGCCAGATGTCAGAAGATTTGTAAATGAAATGTTTGTTATTGTTGCCATAATGTTTTGCTTATAGATCCACATAGCTGTAGATACAATTACTTTTAAAATCATCCATATTTACGATTTTTCTTTAGAAATTTATACATTTTTGTAGCCACTGTTGTAATATTTTGATTTTTTCTCAAATACTACCCCTTCAGTTTTAGGAATTATCAAATAGATTTGACTGTAAACAATGATAAAATTAACATAATAATCGTTTAAACTCCAAAAGTATTCCATGTCCCAATCGGTACTACTTTTCAACTGTTACCTTTATATTGAAAAACAAACAACTTTCTTGAAAAAGAAAAAAAAACATCTGATAATTATTCACGACATGTAGACTCTCCACATAATGATCTATATAACAATCAAATTTTGGTTCAATGGTGTACGTGTAATTGACTAAAATAGTTTTAAAACTTAACAGGAACACTTCTTCAGATCCCTTGAATAGCAACATATGTATTTGAAATTTTGTCCCATTCGATGCAATTGTTCTTGAATTTATCGATAACGGTTAGATAGACATTGCTGTTCCCCTAAACCCATGTTACTTTGCGCTGCAACAATGCCACATGTTCCTAAACGCAAGCGTCGAAATTTTGACTCCTAAAGCAAAATATTCATTATTCATAAACTTTCCAAGTTATTGCTTAAAAAACGTCTGTGTAACCACAACTGTATCTGTAATCGATATAATTTATCTTCAAATAACAATTGATTTATCTATTTTGTACTTATAACAATAATAAATGCGGACAAAAGTATCAAGTTTTCCTGTTCACACAGTAGCCAATTAATCCGAATGATAAAGCACAACAAGTTGTCTCAAATGAGCCGAATAATAAAGCATAATCGATTACCTTAATCTTAATGACATACATGCCTCACATCACACAGTTGGATGTTAACCCGAGGCAGAAAGGTATTCATTTAAAGGAGGAAAACATAAGTAGTTATATGCAGGATATATTAGATCAGTCTTCGTATTCAGAAGCTTTGAACAACTTTCATAGAGACGCCATCTTTCCTGCGGTCGCATGATGCCACATGAATGTCATAGTTGGAGGTCGTCCACAGACACGGAAGAAAATCTACAAGAGTAGTTCAGACACTATTAAGATCAGGATGGAGCAACAGTTTTAATGTCTATTGGCAGCGCAATGACCATACCGTCTCTAACCGCCCAACCGTGCATAAATGTCGTATACCGCACATTGGAGACTCGGAAGAAAATATGCTGTGGGGAACAAAAGCAGTTCAGGTTTAATGTCTATCGTGCAAGGTCCACCGCTTATTCAACTGCTTAGCCAAACCTACTTCACTAAATTCAATGGATTTATGGACCCATCCTCCTGAAGTAGTAAAATTTTTAGGCCGGACATTGAATCTGAACCCCCCAACTAGATTAAAGTATAGTTTTAGCTGTTACAACAACAACAACAACAACAACAGACAAGGAAATTACAATTGTTGTGCCCGTCAGACTATATCTTTGAAAAGATCACTTCTAGTTCTTACAATTTATAGAAGGAGGTTGCCTATTTGAGATTAATTAAGACCTAGCGTACTTGTCCTGTTTTCAGTTTGCTTGGCAAATTGGATTGGAAGAACTTAGTTGACTTTGTCAGATTTGAGCTCTATTTTTCTCTAAGATTCTTTTTAACAAATTTTGACAGAAACCCTATTGTGATATGAAAACCTACCGGAGTTTGAGATTACAAAGCAGAATAGAAGTGTTAAGTGAAATGAGAGTTTTACACTAAAAGCGGTAGATGAAGTTATGAAGAATTCATGAAAAGGCACTAAAAGTTTTAAATAAACTGAGTGTAAAACCATTTGAAGGTTATAGAATACAAATTTCTTACTCTCATTACCTTTTAAAACACATTTCCCTAAAAAAAACAATTTTCCCACAATAGAATTAAAAGTAATTAACAAATGTTGTTTTGGGTAGTAAGAAGCTACGTTTTTTGTATTTTTTTTTATTATTATTTTAAACTTAATTTTGTTGCTACTTAAAAAAAAAGAAAAAATATTTTAATTACAATGATAAAATAAAAATAATATAAGAAAATACTTTTTCTACAATAGAGAATTTCTCCAACAAAAAAGAACTGTTTGATGATGATGATGATGATGTTATATTATTATCCTTCTTTTGTTCTTACATAAATTATAAATGCAAAAAAGATTAAACTTAAATATTACAGGGAGAGGGGAAGGGGATATAAAACGGACAATTTGTATTAAAGAGAAAATATAAAAAATATAACAAATGGAGGGGGGGGGAGGAAATTAAAACTACTACTAAATAGAAAAATCAATTTGATATGAAATCTTACCATTTCCTATTTAAGTTTAATGCTCTTTTTTCTTTACTCTTTTTTAACGGATTTTGTTGTTAATGTGTGTTTTTTATTGCTATTTTACAACTGCTATAAATTCGTTAGATCTGCAGAGGGAGGCGGTGGTTGTTGTTTCGGACAATAACGTATAACCCCTACTCAGGCAACCACTGGTGGAGCACCACCACTAGCTGTTGTTGTAGTCGTTGTTGTAGCAGTCCCTGTTGCTGTGGTAGATGATGATGAAGTAGTACTTGAAGGTAGTGAGTTGGTGGTAGTGTTGGTGCTACTGCTGCTGCCGGCATTAGTATTATTTTGAGGTGTTGTGGAATTTGTTAAACTTATGGAATCTTTACTTTCTAACGTTTTAGCAGTTGCTGCTGGGTTAGAGTTCGAGGACGAGGAGGAGGAGGTTATGGAGGTGGTATTTGTTAAGATGGTATTAGTATTCGACATTTGTGTTGTAACAACATTCGAATTTTCTGTAGTTGTAGTGGTGCTACTGCTGCTGCCACCATTATCATTTGGTGATATTTGTGGTAGTGTTGTTGTTGTTGCTGTAGTAGTTGCAGTTGCTGCTGCTGTTGATGATGATGTTGTTGTTGGTGATTGCGCTGGCTGACTGCTAGGACTTAAAGCACTGCTACTCGATCCCGGTGATGTTATATATGTATTTGTTGTATTATTATGCGTATTTATGTGTACACGTTTAACATGTTTAGCTCGCCCACAGGGCACACACAACATAGAACAATGTTCTCTTAGTTTCGTAACATGATCAATGCGATATTCATTGATCCATTTAAGTTTTCTATGCTTTACTTTAAGTTTTTCACCATTTGGTTGGATGATCGGTAAACCTTCGGGTTTGGTGGCACCGCAACGCATACAAATACTACAACGTTCACAACTCCAACGGCCTGGAAGAAAAAAAACCAAACAAAAACATTAAAAATGGAAATTTTAATACGAATTTTTGAAAATATTTTTAAATTTTTTCAAAATTTTAAAGTTCGAAAGCAGAAATATGTATGCAAATTTTTCGAACATAAGTTCGAATTTTCGAATGTCTAAAAATGCTTAGATTCCACAACTACAATGAAAATAATTCAGTAATAATAAATCATTTTAAAATTTTTTCAAAATTGATGAAATTTTTCAAAATTTTTATGTTCGAAAGCATAAAAATGTAAAAATTTATTTCCATATAAAACTGAAATTATATTTTTATAAATCCTTATGCCTTAGAGATTATTTTAACAGCTTTAAAATTTTTTCGAACATACATAAGTTCGAATTTTCGAACATGTCCAAAAATCCTTAGATTCCGCTAGTACAATGAAAATAATTAAAAATCTTAAAACATTTTAAAATTTTTTAGAAATTGATAAAATTTTTAAAATTATTTCAAAATTTTTAAGTTCGAAAGCAGAAACATGTAGGAAATTGTTCCCAAATAAAACTGAAATTATATTTTTCTAAATCCTTATGCCTTAAAGATTATTTTTACAGTTTTAAAATTTTTTCGAAAATAAGTTCGAATTTTCGAAAATTTTCGAACATGTCCAAAAAAGCTTAAATACTGAACATATATAGAAAATACTTTAAAATTACTAAAAAAGTTAATAATTTTTCTAGAATTCGTGAAATTTTAAAATAATTTTCAAAATTTTTAAGTTCGAATCAAGAAAAATTTAAGAAATTGTGCTCAAATGCAACTAAATGATTTTTTTTACGAATCCTTAGGATTCAGAGATTATATTAACAGATTTACAATTTTTTCGAACATAAGTTCGAATTTTCGAAAATTTTCGAACATGTTTTAAAATGATTAAATTTTCAAACTTTATGGCAAAAACTTTAAAATTATGCAAAAAAATATAAATTTTTTCAAAATTTTAACGTTCGAAAGCAGAAATATGTATGAAAATTTTTCGAACATAAATTCGAATTTTCGAACATGTCCAAAAATGCTTAGATTCCGCAACTACAATGAAAATAATTCAGTAATAATAAATCATTTTAAATTTTTTTCAAAATTGATGAAATTTTTAAATTTTTTTTCAAAAATGTTATGTTCGAAAGCAAGAATTTGTTTCCAAATAAAACTGAAATTATATTTTTATAAATCCTTATGCCTTAGAGATTATTTTAACAGCTTTAAAATTTTTCGAACATAAGTTCGAATTTTCGAAAATCTTCGAACATGTTCAAAAATGCTTAGATTTCGAAACTACAATGAAAATAATTCGAAAATCTTAAAACATTTTAATTTTTTTTAGAAATTGAAGAAATTTTTAAAAAATGTTTAATGTTCGAAAGCAGAAACATGTAGGAAATTGTTGCCAAATAATACCGAAATTATATTTTAATAAATCCTTATTCCTTAAAGATTATTTTTACAGTTTTAAAATTTTTTCGAACATTAGTTCGAATTTTCGAACATGTCCAAAAAAGCTTAAATACTGAAAATATATAGAAAATACTTTAAAATTACTAAAAAAAAAGTTAATAATTTTTCTAGAATTCATGAAATTTTAAATAATATTCAAAATTTTTAAATTCGAATCGAGAAAAATTAAAGAAATTTTGCTCAAATGCAACTAAAATGATTTTTTTACGAATCCTTAGGATTCAGAGATTATTTTAACAGCTTTACAATTTTTCGAACATAAGTTCGAATTTTCAAAAATTTTCGAACATGTTTTAAAATGTTTAAATTTTCAAACTTTATGGCAAAAACTTTAAAATTATGCAAAAAAATTTTAATTTTTGCAAAATTTTTAAATTCGAAATCAAAAAAATTAAAGAAATTTTCGATTTTTAGAAAACCTTATTCTTGAGATCTATTTTTAACAATTTTAAAATTAAAAATTTTGTATTCAAAATACTTACCATCAGGCACTGCCTTAATGGTTAGACAATAAATGTGAAAACCACGATCACACTGCTCACAGAAAAGCATTTTATTTTGATCATGTTTTCGTTTACATTTAATACAACATTTACAATCGGCACACTGCCAATTATAGTTGCGTACTCTATTAGCCATACGGTGGGGCATTTCAATGCAACTGGGATGTACTGGAAAACAAAACAGAAATATAAATTTAAATAATTTGAAATTAGAAGAAAATTTTTATGAAATCTCTTACCTTTACGTCTGCAGGTATAACATTGTACAAATAATTCGGGTATATCTTTGAGATTACGATTTTGTGGATGTTGACAAACACCACAGGTGGCAGGTGAATTTTCATCTTCACTCGAATCATCTGACGATGAAGACGTACAAGAGGAGGTCTCAGAATCCTATAAAACAATTAAATTTTAGTTTACAGTTTATGATTTCCTAATAAAATATATCGAAAACCTACCGATTCACTTGAAGAATCATCCGAAGATGAGGATGAACATGATTCTGTGGAACTATTTGAAACTGCTCCTGGCAGAAGTGGTACTTTAAATTCAGCATTATTTAGTTTACGTGTATGTTTGGCACGTATTCTACGTATATGTCTTTGTTTGCTAAGACGTTCTGAAGCACTGATATTCGATAAAGTCTTATCGCCTTCAATAAAATCAATAGTTTCTGCAGCTGAATCGGTATCTGTGGTTTCTTCTTTTTGTGGTAATATATGACTGGCTGGCTCTAGCACAGTATTAAGAGGAAATTGTCTAAATAAATGAAAAATAGTTGTTAATAAAAATTGGATATATATTATTAAACGTAAACAAAACTAACCTTAATTCCTGTGGTGAATAGTCATAGTATTTTTCACAGAATTGACCCGGCACTAAAGACAAGGGATAATAAGCTTCTCTAGGTCTCAAAGGTTCCCAAACACGTTCTTTCATTAACGTGGGTGGTTGGGGTATTTTCTCTGCTTTGGCGGCTCGCGCCACAGCATCGGCTATCGGACGGTTGGGTATAGCAGCTATAGGAGCTGCAGCCGGACTAGGCTTGTTAACAGTAAAGGTTTGCAAATCCAAACAGGTTAAACGTTCTTCTTTGCGGCTGCAATTATTATTCAAAAATTAATATTTTAAAACCTCTCTTTGTCATCAAAATAAACTTACGTTCTATTGAAATAGGCATTCCATTTGCTGGCCGATAACATGGCTCTTTCCCGGGCCTGCAAGCCACGTCCCGCCACATTCAAACCCAGCGATTTCTGTTTAGCCTCTATTTCACGTAAATGTTTTTGTCTTACAAAATCCTTATACTCTTCATATTTATCATAGAAATCGGTGTACATAATATCCAATATATCGGAGGCCCAAACGGCGGTTATGCCTAGATCACACATTTTCTCAGAAACCAAAGATTTTTCTTGCAAATAATTACGTTCTTCCATATCGATTTGTCGTCGTGGTAAGTCGGGATATTTACGTTTAAAACTTTTAATACCCAAATACAAGGCCACCTGTTCTTGTATCATAAAAGTATCGCGATTTTTCGAGGGACAACAGCCCTTAGGTGGTGGCCAATCATACTCGGCTATAGAGGCCACCGTTAACTCGGCACTGTAACAAATAAAATTTAGAAATTAGTTCTAATTTTTCTTATTAAAGGACCTTTAAACTTACTCTTCTGCTACACAAACTTCCATTTTCTTGCGTTTCATGGGTTTTTTAACTGCCGAACCATTTTGTAGCGCTGCCACATTGTTGGGATCCAAAATACTTGTGTTGCTTATAATCGATGACTGGGATTCTTCATTATTTAAGAAATCGGGTTGTTGTCTAATTTATTAAAAAAGGTTTAAGTATAAATTTATTGGTAAAGTAAATATTTAGAGAAAATATATTTTCTCTTACCTTGTAGGAGTTTGGGGAGGTTCTGGTTGAGTAGTGTTTTGTGTTAAATCCGCACTCATACGGGTGTCTTCTTCAAATACCGAGGGCGACTTTAGAGAAAGAAATTAAAAATTTATAAAATATTTTAAAAATTTAATGAAAAAACTTTGATTTTTTAATGTTAAGACTATAAATTGCTTAATATTTTACTATTGCAACATTTACAAGGGTAGTTTAAGCTTGTATATCTGCAGACCTAGACAATTTTAAACATGTTTTATAACAATTTAGATATTTAAATATTGCTAAAGTCTGGTTTGTGTGAATTTAAAAAGGAATGAAAATTTTAGTCTTGTAAATATGCCCTATTGTAGTAAATCACAATTTTGTTTTTATTGTTGTAAATTTCTAACAAAGTGTAGTAATTTATCATAAAAGTTTACTATTGCAAGGGTTGTTTTCAAGCAGCTGTAGCAAAAAACTCTACTATTACAAGATTTGCAAGAGTAGTATACCAGATTTCGATGTGTGCAAGGGTATTGTATAAGATGTTTATTATAACAAGTGAATTCTGATCCATATTATTAATTCAAAGTTTTAAATGATTCATGATTATGCCAAAACTGTAGCGAAAAAAAAAAACTCTAATATTACAAGGTTTGCAAGGTTAGTATACCACATTGTAAGCTGTGCAAGGTATTGTAAAAAATATTTATTATGGCAATTGAATTTCACTGTATTTTAGTCTTGCAAATATGCATAAGAGCATTAAATCAACGTTTTAAATTTTTTTTTAAATATGTAGCAAAAACTCAGCTATTGCAAAGTTTGCAAGGGTAGAATACCAGATCTCAAGGTGTGCAAAGGTATTGTAAACGATGTTCATTCATTATGAGAAGTGAATTCGACTATAGTTTAGTTTTCCAAATCTGTTCAAGACTATTAAATCAAAGTTTTAAATATATAACTCATAAAACTCTACTATTGCAAGGTTTGCAAGGGTAGTATACCACATTGCAAGGTGTACAAGAGTACTGTAAATCATAGTTTCGTATATTTTGATGTAGAAATTTAGTATAGATAAATATATTTGCTACTATATTGCCCGACTTCATGTGTGGTTAACTATAAAGAGTAAGTTTGCACTAATCTGTTTAAGGTTAGCATATTTACAATACCTAGTTTTCCTTGTTGTTTAACTTGCAAATATGGTCAAGTGTAGTTAATCGGTGCTTCGTATGTTTAAATGTTGTAGTCTTACAAAACTGCAAGATTTTTAATGCTAGCATATTTACAAGACCTAGTTTTCGTAGTTTTTAGACTTCGAAATATAATCAAAAATAGTAAATAAGGATTCGTATGGTATTAATGTTGTCGTCTTAAAAAATGCTAGTGCTAGCATATTTACAAGACCTGTTTTTCATAGTTTTTCAACATGCAAATATAATCGCGTATAGTAAATAACTGTTTCGTATTCTGTGTTGCTTGTAGTATATAAAACTATAAGATTTTATAAGTTTTAAAGATTTGCAAGGATCTTGCAAATTTTATTAAGTGTAGTAAATTACATTTTCATAACTCAAAACTTATGAGCGATGTGCTAAGATTAAAATTTTTTAATAATTTCTTTAAACACTTAAAAACACTTCATACAAATACGTACATTTGTATTTGTGTATTTTTTGTGTGTTTGTGTCTAAATTGTATTTCTCCTTAAAAAAGCTATTAATTAATTACACTAGATACATGCAAGCCCGCCAACCATTAAATGCATAACTTAATTACAATGTTATGTGTCTATAACGTTAATAAATAATTACTATAGACGAAAAACAACAACATTTTCAACAAATTCACCACACACTAACACTTAACACAAATTTATTACTCCCCTTATAAAATTCTCCTTATAATGAGATAAAGAGATAAAATACATATAAAATCGTAAATAAAACAAAAAAGAGCACTAACAGAATAAGCATGAAAAGCAAAATTCAGAAAAAAATGCATTAAATACATATGGGCACGATTTTAACGATAAAGAAAAAAATCTAATACATTTGACCCCCCAGAGTAGTCATGTACATGTAGTAGCAAAAAAAGAAAGAGAACAAAAAAAAAATAAAACAATTGAATGCAACTTTTTTTTAGACATAAACTAAAAGAGAGTAAATGAATACTTTTAAAATAGTCAGCAGTCGACTGTTAATTATATGCAATAATAACAGAATAAAGCATACAGACAAGAGTTAACAATAACAATGTGTTAAATGGTTTGTTAACACTCTATTAACAACAAAATAAAAGAGAATGTGCAAATACAAAAAAGCAAAACTAAAAAGAAAGAAAAAAAACAAATACTACACCTGAGTTTTGGGCAAAATAAAAGGTACAAAAAACAAAACCAGTAAATCTGGTATTTGTTACTTCACTTGATAAAGAGACATTACGATATGGGAAGCTCTCTTGCTTTGAAAAGAGTACAAAAAAAATATAACATATCTTTTCACAATTGTATGTTGTTTTTAGCATGACATACATTTACAACACTTTCTTCTTTCATTGTTTTGTTGTTTGTGTTTCGTAGTTGAGCAAAAGAACAACAAAAACAATAAAAAAAAAAACAACAAAGAAAAAACACTATTATAAATTTTCTCTATTTGTATGTATTAAGTTTTTTTTCAGTTTGTTTTTTGTTTGTGGTGGTGGTGTTGCACTCTGCTGTTGTTGTTGTTTGATTTAAATTTATGTAATCAAATTAAATGCAGAATACACATGCAATTCAGGTGTTCAGAATATTGAACATTTTTTAAATTTCTTGTGTATTTTTATACTTACGGGACTATAAAGGCCTTTAATACGGTCTGGATCTGGTGTATGCTTAAGGGCGCCCACACAGCGTGGCCGATTCATGGCTATAGCTTTCGAGACAGCACTAGCATTACGTCCCAAACGATGCGCCTTATAACCCCGGCCTCGACCACCCCGTGAAGCTCTACCCCGTCCACGACCTCTTCCAGGTGTTGTTGACATTGAGGAAGAACTTGCTGAGTCATCTGTAACAAAAAATATATAAAATTTTAGTAAACTTTCTATAGAAAAGGTTTCCTTTAGAAAGCCTTCCTTAGGAAGACTGTTTTACTATAGAAAGTCTTCCTTAAGAAGACTGTTTTCCTATAGATTAAGTCTTTCTTAGGAAGATTGTTTTCCTATAGAAAAAGTCTACCTATAGAAGACTCTTTTCCTATAGAAAACGTCTTCTTTAGAAAGACTCTTTTCTTAAAGAAAAAGTCTTCCTTAGAAAGTCTCTTTTCTTAATGAAAAAGTCTTCCTTAGAACGACTCTTTTTACCTAAAGAAAAAGTCTTCCTTAGAAAGACTCTTTTCTTAAAGAACAAGTCTTCCTTAGAAATATTCTTTTCTTAAAGAAAAAGTCTTACTTAGGTGGTCCATTTCCCTACCGAAACAGTCATCCTAAAGAAGACGTTTGAAACATTTTTCTAACTAATAAAATTTCGCTTACCTCCCGAATTATCTGGACCACTAACATCATCGGCCATATCCTCATCTTGCGACTCATTTTGCACACTCTCCGCCGCTGTACTGAACATGGGGGCGCGCAATTGTTGTGTCGCCAATATGGAGGAGAAATCATTAGGTTTAAATACAACATCGGGTAGGGGATCTGATGAGGACAGTATGGTAGTGGGTGGTAACATAGAATTATTACTGCTGCCACCACCGCCGCCACTACCAACTACAACACCACTGCCACCACCACCACCACTACAGACCGCATTAGCTGAACTGCCTACCACTAGTGCCGGCATAGCATTGCTCATGACATTAGCCTCTACGGTAGTTATGGTATTGGTAGTACTGCCGTTACTATTGCTCGAAGAAGAGGACATGGTCAAATCAATTTGTGTGGCCATGGAGAGGGAGTGTGTGGCAGTTATCGATGCTACCGTTGATGTTAAGGTTGTCGAGCTATTCGAACAGGCCGAAGAGGAAATGGAGGAATTAGATTCTAGAAAATTATTAAGAACATTTTCATTGTTCTGCTTAAGTAGTGAGTTGCTGGACTTTTTATTATTATTATCCATGGCTAGTGAAGAAGGGGCTCGCTGTTTTGTCTTAGTTTCCATTTGTAACACCGTGGGTGTATTACTACGTCTCGAAGCGCGTAGTGGGGTTCTAAGCCTTTTTTGTGTTTCCATTTCATGGTTTTCACTTTTATCTTCATCACCTGCCGCCGACATCATATTGACCGATGATTCTAGTTCATCGAGAACACGTAAAGGTTCATCAGCATCCACCATATCAATGGCTAAACGTTTACGCAACAATTGCACCCGTCTAGATTTGGAATCTGTTTGTGGAGTTTCTTCTCTAGGGGCAGGAGTGGTTATTTGTGGCGTTAAGGCGTTGTTATGCTCATTATTAAGGTTGTTAACATTGAGGTTAGATTTCTTTGGCCTACCTCGTCTCTTTTGGAAGGGAGTAGCATTCTCATTAGCTTGTTCATTGCTATTAGTTTCCGCCGACAATTCAAAACTATCATTCGAATTGTTTTGAGCCGCATCAATCACTTCTTCCATGGCTATGGGTAGAAGATGTTCATGTTTTTGTTTACGCGCCCTCTGATGACTTGTTAGTGTCGTCGTGGTGGTTTGTTTCAAACAATTAAAATCATTTGGTTGAGTCACTGCAGCAGCAGCAGCAGCTGTAGTTGTGGTCTTATTCAATTCCTCTAGAGAATTTGTTAATACTTTTTGATTTATTAAATCATTATTATTATTTACAATCAGTTGGGAGTTTTTGGTATTAAGAGCATCATTATTTAGCCTTCTCTGTTTGTTGGAAGGCGGTATTGCTAAATCACCCATGTTATTCTCCGCTAAATGATTTGCTTGATTCGTTTGGCCGGCCAAATGACGCTTTAAATTGGAATTGTTATTATTAAGGGCTAATATATCGCTATCCTTGGGATAGTGAAGACCATTAGGCAGATTGCTAGGAGCGTTGTTTGTGATAAGTTGCAAACTTTGTGGACACTCATCTAGAGAATTACGCGGACTACCTTCAGGTGTATCTAGTATCTCTATGGAATCTATAATATTCTCCTCTTTGGAATTGAGGGGCGTTTGAATAGGCAGACTGTGTGAAATGTTATTATTGTTGGTGTTGCTGCCATTATTGGGACTAGTACCATTCGCCATTAAACGTTCAGCCAATTGGGGATATTTCAAAGAAGCAGGCGCTGATGTTTGTATGGCATTAGGTTTTGGCTGCAAGGGAGGAGGAATAGCGACGTTGCATTCCGTTTGCTGCTGCAATTGCTGTTTTAATTGTTGAGTATTTTGTATGACAGTAGTCTCTCTTTGCAATCTCTCCAAGAGTATATTGGTGCTAGGTATTGCCATGTTATTGACTGGCGCTGCTACAGAATTACTATCATCATTATAATCAAATTGGGCTGGGGAACAACTGCGCGATGGTGAAGAGGTCAAGTCTACTGTATCAATAATTTGTGTTAGCTTTGGATGATGCATTTTGCCATTTAATATCTCTGGTACGTCTTGGGTATGATCTTTGAAATGTATATCATTTTGAAAGATTTGTGGTTCATGATCAGTCTGCAGGTCTTCATCGATATCCATATCATCTGAATTGCGACGTATTTCGGGATCAGTTTCCTGCACCGCCATATTATTATCGGCTGTTATAAGTACAACTTTTGCAGCAGAATCGGCGGTATTGTCATTGAAACCACAAAAACCTTGAGAGTTACTAGATTCTCCAGCATTATCTACCGTTAATAAATCGGCAAACTCATCCGTGTCTGCGGGCGAAGAAACTAATATATTGGCATTAATTATCTCTGTCACTACGGGCGGTGCACTCGCAGCAGCAGCATTAGTTTTATTCTCCACCACTGTCGGTGTTTCCTGTACAACAGTCAGTTTTTGTTGTGGTGAACCCAGGTTCTTAATGGTTAATTTCGGCACTGTCTTACAGGTTTGAGCTTTAACTCTTCCCTCATCTTCTGCCTCACTTTCTAGGCCACTTTCCTCGGTTGAGGGTGGCCTTTGCTGTTGACTGCTTATATTTTTTATGGTTAATTTAGGCACACTTTCAATTTTACTTTGAGTTTTGATTGTCATTTTCGGTATAGACCCGGTTGTACACTCATCCTCGGTGTTTATTGTATGTTTGTTGGTAACAACCATATCATTTTGTTGACGCGTTATGGTCAATTTAGGCACTGCTTGTTTGGGTGATAGGGGACTGTTGTTGGTTTCCAATTGTGATTTTCTTTTTGATGCCACAATATTGGGCGAGTCTAGGCTATTGGTTTTAATAGTAATTTTGGGTATTTTTTCATTAGTTGAACACTCCGCATTAGAGTTATTGGAATCTTCCACTGAATCCAGCGACTTGGTTTTAATAGTTAATTTCGGTATGCCACCCACGGCATTGGTATGATCATTATGTTGTGTTATTATGACAGCATGTTCCTGACCCGTTTTAATGGTTAGCTTGGGTATTTTTGAGGTGGTAGCATCGTCTGTGGTAGCATTAACTTCACCACAAATCATATTGCCTTTAATGCATAACTTGGGTATAGTGGGATGATTGTTATCTGCCGCCTCGTGAGATTTTTGCAAAGGTTTAATGGTCAACTTGGGTATGGTGTTGGACGAACTGGAATTTGTAGCCACATGGGAGTTAGTAGATGTCGACGATGAAGAGCATGAAGCCAAGGACGATGATGAAGAGGAGGTGGTTGAGGAAGCAGGTGAAATATTTGTTATAATTGATTCAGTGTGACCATCTTGTCCAGTTTTAATTGTTAACTTTGGTAAAGGTGGGGTATTAGCGGCCGCTTGTGTACTATGTCCCTCGGAGCTGGTATTATTGGAATCATTAATTTTAATGGTTAATTTTGGTACTATGGTTGAGTGTTCTTCATTTTTAGCGCGTATTGTTAGCTTCGGAACAATGTGTGGTTCGGAGGCATTCAATTTGCTGACCATTTCATCTTCCGCTGAAGAGGAACATTCTTCCGACGACATGAGTATGTCGGCGGACGTTTCCTTGACTATAGGTTTAATAGTGATCTTGGGCGTGTGGTGGGAGGTATGATGGGTATTGTGCAGATTAATTTTCAAAGGTTCCACTTTACGCAAATCATCCTCTATAAGGGATTTCGGAAGTTGAGATTCTGTCGTGGACGTCGTTGAAGTTTTAGGCAGTTTTAATATAATTTTATCAGTGGTATTACTACTGGTAGAAGCGCCACCACCACCACCTCTATCTACCCCTATAGCCCCACCTCCACCACCCTCTCCCGGCTCAGCCACTGTGGTTGGGGTAGTATCTCTAGCTACCATATCGTTGTTTGACTTTAAAATTCTGGTATTAATACTAAGATGATGTGTTAAAGGGTTTAAAGATGATGCTGCTGCTGATGTTGTACCGCCTTCCCTGTGCAAACTGGAATTATCTGATGTTGAAGGCATGACCATCTCTTCGAGCGACAATGAATCGGAATTATATGTTAATATTTCATAATTATTTGTGCTGCTAGTTATGCGAGCCGGTGATGTTACCAAAGCCTCTAATTCTAAGTTTACCTCTTCGCCTTCACCCTCGGCCGCTAAGGGTAACAAACAATCACTAGATGTTGAAGTAACCACCTGTTCTTGATCGTCGTTATCCTCCTCTAGCACATGTACTCTTTGCTGATAGGGCTGAAGCTGTTCTTGTCTGTTGCGAGTTGTTGTTGTTGCAGTGGCCGCTTGACGACAACTGACAAAGGATAATAGCTGCTGATGATGAAGTTGCTGCTGCTGTTGTTGTTGTTGTGTAGATTGTGTTGTTGGTGTATCTGCATCCGTTGATTTTCGTCGATTTGTAACATTCATTGCTTATAATGATGTAGTTTTTATTTTGGATTTATTTAAATATTTTTAATATTTTTGTTGTTGTTGTGTTGGTTTGTTTGCAAAACCTTTTTTTCAGATTTTTATTTGGTAAATTATTGTTTGTGGTTTCTGGGTGGGCCAAATTCTCCAAACCAAAGAACCTTAGTTTTATTCTCGTAAACTTATCATGTTTGTTGAATTGTTCGTTGTGTTGGCTATTTCGACTACTGGTCTGCTTCAAAGTTGTAATAGTAGTTGGAAAATATTCTGTAATTAAAGAAGAAAATTTTGATTAGAAAAGCTTAAGAATAGCTCTTTGCTGGATTCAGATAACGCTACTTAAAAGAGATTAACAATTTGATCAATAATGACAAGAGAAAACAAGTTAAAAATTAGATAGATTATACTATAAGCTATCAATATGTCATAGATCTTAAGATTAATACGTGACTGATCTTTTGAAAGCATTCATTATTCGATTCGCGAATCCTTTCACTCAGAAAATTTGCATTAAATAGGTGTTTCTGAAGCCTCTAGTGAATATTTTTTCCTTACAAATTAATCAACAATCTTTTCCCTTTAACTTTAAAAAATTACAACATTTTTGGATTCAAAAATATCCAAACCTTAACATTAACATAATGGGTAAATGAACTTTAAAACAAACAGAAATTTATATTCCACAGAATATGTAAATTACTTTAACATTTTGACATCTTGTTGAATTTGTTTTTATAAAAACAACAATTTTTATTAATAAAAACAAAATAAAGAAAATCTGTTGATACATAAGAAAAATTCTCTATAATTTATAACATCTTAGAGAAAATAAAATTCTTTCGATGAATATCTAGACTGTGTGTTTCAAAAAAAATTCTATGAGTCATCAGCCTCAATTCTTAATTAACACCTTAAAGATTAGCGAGCGACATTTGTTTAAAATAAATAATTTGCGCTACTTTATGGTTTAACAACGAGTGTAAGATGAAATATGAATGATATAGAAATTTGTTTTCAATTTGTTTTTAACATCTTCAACTTACAGCATAATAAGAACTAGAACTGAACTAGAACAGAACTAGAACTGAACTAGAACTGAACTAGAACTGAACTAGAACTGAACTAGAACTGAACTAGAACTGAACTAGAACAGAACTAGAACTGAACTAGAACTGAACTAGAACTGAACTAGAACTGAACTAGAACTGAACTAGAACTGAACTAGAACTGAACTAGAACTGAACTAGAACTGAACTAGAACTGATCTAGAACTGAACTAGAACTAAACTAGAACTGAACTAGAACTGAACTAGAACTGAACTAGAACTGAACTAGAACTGAACTAGAACTGAACTAGAACTGAACTAGAACTGAACTAGACTGAACTAGAACTGAACTAGAACTGAACTAGAACTGAACTAGAACGAACTAGAACTGAACTAGAACTGAACTAGAACTGAACTAGAACTGAACTAGAACTGAACTAGAACTGAACTAGAACGAACGAGAACTGAACTAGAACTGAACTAGAACTGAACTAGAACTGAACTAGAACTGAACTAGAACTGAACTAGAACTGAACTAGAACTGAACTAGAACTGAACTAGAACTGAACTAGAACTGAACTAGAAACTGAACTAGAACTGGAACTAGAACTGAACTAGAACTGAACTAGAACTGAACTAGAACTGAACTAGAACTGAACTAGAACTGAACTAGAACTGAACTAGAACTGAACTAGAACTGAACTAGAACTGAACTAGAACTGAACTAGAACTGAACTAGAACTGAACTAGAACTGACTAGAACTGAACTAGAACTGAACTAGAACTGAACTAGAACTGAACTAAACTGAACTAGAACTGAACTGAACTAGAACTGAACTAGAACTGAACTAGAACTGAACTAGAACTGAACTAGAACTGAACTAGAACTGAACTAGAACTGAACTAGAACTGAACTAGAACTGAACTAGAACTGAACTAGAACTGAACTAGAACTGAACTAGAACTGAACTAGAACTGAACTAGAACTGAACTAGAACTGAACTAGAACTGAAACTAGAACTGAACTAGAACTGAACTAGAACTGAACTAGAACTGAACTAGAACTGAACTAGAACTGACTAGAACTGAACTAGAACTGAACTAGAACTGAACTAGAACTGAACTAGAACTGAACTAGAACTGAACTAGAACTGAACTAGAACTGAACTAGAACTGAACTAGAACTGACTAGAACTGAACTAGAACTGAACTAGAACTGAACTAGAACTGAACTAGAACTGAACTAGAACTGAACTAGAACTGAACTAGAACTGAACTAGAACTGAACTAGAACTGAACTAGAACTGAACTAGAACTGAACTAGAACTGAACTAGAACTGAACTAGAACTGACTAGAACTGAACTAGAACTGAACTAGAACTGAACTAGAACTGAACTAGAACTGAACTAGAACTGAACTAGAACTGAACTAGAACTGAACTAGAACTGAACTAGAACTGAACTAGAACTGAACTAGAACTGAACTAGAACTGAACTAGAACTGAACTAGAACTGAACTAGAACTGAACTAGAACTGAACTAGAACTGAACTAGAACTGAACTAGAACTGAACTAGAACTGAACTAGAACTGAACTAGAACTGAACTAGAACTGAACTAGAACTGAACTAGAACTGAACTAGAACTGAACTAGAACTGAACTAGAACTGAACTAGAACTGAACTAGAAACTGAACTAGAACTGAACTAGAACTGAACTAGAACTGAACTAGAACTGAACTAGAACTGAACTAGAACTGAACTAGAACTGAACTAGAACTGAACTAGAACTGAACTAGAACTGAACTAGAACTGAACTAGAACTGAACTAGAACTGAACTAGAACTGAACTAAAACTGAACTAGAACTGAACTAGAACTGAACTAGAACTGAACTAGAACTGAACTAGAACTGAACTAGAACTGAACTAGAACTGAACTAGAACTGAACTAGAACTGAACTAGAACTGAACTAGAACTGAACTAGAACTGAACTAGAACTGAACTAGAACTGAACTAGAACTGAACTAGAACTGAACTAGAACTGAACTAGAACTGAACTAGAACTGAACTAGAACTGAAACTAGAACTGAACTAGAACTGAACTAGAACTGAACTAGAACTGAACTAGAACTGAACTAGAACTGAACTAGAACTGAACTAAACTGAACTAGAACTGAACTAGAACTGAACTAGAACTGAACTAGAACTGAACTAGAACTGAACTAGAACTAGAACTGAACTAGAACTGAACTAGAACTGACGAACTAGAACTGAAACTAGAACTGAACTAGAACTGAACTAGAACTGAACTAGAACTGAACTAGAACTGGACTAGAACTGATCTCATTTTAAAGGCATATCAAGCCTTTAAGAATGATTATACTGACGATTAAAGATTAATCTCATAAAACTATTTACGATCGATATTTCGAATTCGACATTTCGAGAATGACGAAATAAGATCATAATTATCTTTCGAAATTGTGGTTCCCATTATAATCAAGCTATTATTCTGTTGGTTTTCTGATTTCTTACTCTTCTTATACGACCTTATTACTCTCATACTACAATCTCTCTCTTTGTTGATTGCCTTTGTCTGTTTGTCGAAATTTTTTGCTTCTTATTTATTCCTAAATAGTTAGACTAATTGACTCTCTTTTTAATTTTCCACATGTTTAGTTAAATGTGTAAGTATGTATGTAATTGTGTGAAATCTTGAACTTTTTCATGAATTAAAATTGTTGGTATGCAGTTGTTTGTTTTTGTTGTGTATGTGTGTTTTTATTTTTTCGGAGCACAGAGTTTGATTCTCCTGCTACCGGCATTATTTGGTGGTAGACAACAACAACAGCAAAAATCATTGTCGCATTTGCAAAACACACGTTATGCCAGCCAGAACATCACACGACCAACAGATAGACAGACAGTTAGACAGTGAGACACATACAACTCTCAGCGTAAAACAAACATAAAGACATCGTCACACGACCAACATCGCACACGATTTTTAAACGACTGACACAACACGAGATTAGTGTGAAGAAGTATAAGTACTTCGCTACGACAAATTTTAAGAATCTAAATGACTTTGAATTCATTTTTTGTTGTTGTTGTTGTATTATTGTTATTAATCTTTGTGCCTTTGTTTTAAAATTATAACAGAGGTAGGGAGGAGTAGGTGGGCAAATAGTTGTACATTGAGGTAGGTTTTCTTTTTTTGTGCAATGGGAGAGAGGTATTGAATTAAAATAGATTTGTACAACTTGTTGTTAATTTTGAATGTTTAATTTCTAAGGAATTGTTTAAATTTAAGTAAAACTTTTGGTTTTTGTCAAAAACTGATCGGCAAACTGATATTTATAATCAATAAATGCTTTCTTTGAAATATGGCGATTCAGTCTTAATGAAAAAGATCAGGAATTCAAAGCAAACAGTCGTTTTTTGGTATATGACGAGTAATTTAGGTAGTTTCCGGGGAAGATCCAGCTAAAATGTATGCTCCCGACTAGAATTATTGTCTTAGAAAGGAAATTTCAAAGAACTCTCAAAGGAAATCGTGCCAAACCCTACGATACCAATATGCCTTCATATAACATAGTTTGTCGTTCTAACTTGGCCAATAGCTTTCCATTCATGATTTTATGTACGAAGACACATTACAAACATTATATTAATTTTGACGTTCACAAGTCTTCGGATATCGTCCAATTCAATCGGTCTTAATTAACTTGGTTTTTCTAAGAAGTACAGAATAAGAATTTGATAGTTCCCAAAAGGTTTCCCAACTTTGAAACGCTTCTATATTTGTGAAGATTCCAAAGGGTTTTAATCTATTTAAGATTGGGTTAGGTTATTGAATACTGAATTTGAATTAACTAAAGCGGATCTTCTTATGAAATAGTGCAAAAAAGGACTGACTCGAAGTAATGTGGACAGAGAATATGAGAGAATATTTTGTAATGCCAAACATTATATTAATTCTAAAGAAGTCATTGAGAATTAACTCATTTCTTAAATTCTTAATTCCTCACCACAGAACTAGAACTGGTTCTTCACCATTTCTCAATCATAGATTCGCTTTTACCCCTTTTAAAATCCTTGACATTCATCAAGATCAACTTTTTGAATCATACATATACCCAAACAAAATATGAATAATACAGGATGTAAAATATCCAAAAATAGAAAATTAAACTCGAAAACAAAGAAAATCAAGAGCAA